CCGCGCGGGGGCGGCGGGGCCGGCGGGCCGTTGCTGAGGGTGCGCGTGTTGCAGGTACCTGGTGGACAGCCGCTGGTTCAAGCAGTGGAAGAAGTACGTGGGCTTCGACAGCTGGGACATGTTCGGCGTGGGCGAGCCCAGCCTCTTCCCCGGGCCCGTCGACAACTCGGGGCTCTTCAGCGGTGAGTCCGGGCCCTCGCAGAGGGCTGGGGGGGCCTGCGGCCTCTAGTGCCTCAGGGTGCCCGGGGCACCCCGAGACCCCAGTGAGAGGCTTTCCCGTGTCCTTAGAAAGCCTTTTTCCGAAGTGCCGCTTTCACGTCTATAATAACCACGCGTTCTGAGGGGCTGCAAGCAGCTGTGTTAGAGGTTGGGAGCAGGGAGGCTGGCGAGGCTCCTGCTTGCCCTTGGCTTTGCCTGGAGAGTGTCGTTATCCGTGTCTCAGCTCTTTTGTTTTTTTCCCTTGTCTTAGCTAATTTTATTTATTTCATCGGGATATCTTTGTGGTAGCAGATAACTGTTCCTATGTAGATTTTAGTGACTTGAACAAAAATCTGTGTGTGAAATAACTGAGTGTTCAGTAGTTAAAAGTGAGCGTGGAGTTGTGAGGTATCTGGCTTCCCCTCTCCTGGTTTCTGTGATTGTATGTAATCCATATAGTTATTTCCTCTATATTTAATGCTATTTTTCCCTTAAAATTATAAGAAATACCATGATCTTGTTGGTGTTTTTACTGATAGTGACAGATTATTAATAGAGTGTTGGGCAGGTTTTCCATAAAGGGATGTTTGCCCACAACCTAGGTATAGTCCAGGGCGTCCCGGCCACAGGAGTCAGAAGACACCCATCCCATGTGCTTTGATTTCCTAAAAGCAGTGTAGATGGTGCTTCATGAGGGAGAAGAACATTTTGTGCTCCCTTTAGGTGTTGTCTTGTTCAGAATTTGCTGTGTGACAGAGACTTCAGGGTCTTTCCTGAGGCATCATCACAAAGTGCTTCTGTTCATATAGTGCTTCTCTTCTACAAATTTTTGCAATGATTCCCTAATAAATACTAGCAATGCAATTACATGTCTGTTTTCTACAGCTTTAAAGCATCTTAATTTATCTCTAGTACAATTTATAGACATAAGATCTATACATTGAATGTCTTAAATGCCAGTATTTTGTGAAAGAACTGTCTCATCTCATGCTCTCTTCCTTTCAGATCCAGAAACACAGATTTTAAAAGAGCATCTCATTGATGAACTAGATTACGTATTGGTTCCCACTGAAGCCTGGAACAAATTGGTAACCTGGTATGGTTGCATAGATGGACAGGAGCCTATTGTAAGAAAAGTGAGTATGGGCAAACCAACTTCTCTTCTGCTTTCATGTTTTCACCTCTGCAAAATTTCAAAGGCTGTTTCTTGTGCTGGTTATGGGTTAGGATAGGATGCATAGCATCTCTCTGGAGATGATAGGATGAGCTGCATTTGCCATATCTGAAAAAAGATGACTTTCTAATATTACAATTAAAAATGGGGAGAGCTGTGAACCTTGCTTTAGGGACCACTTTGCATTAATTGCTGTTAGAACCAGTGCAGTGTCAGTGCAGTGTGTTCTTGTTGCATGGACCAACCTCAGTGTTATTGAAAAATGCAAGTTGTTATGTCAAGCAGATGAGTCTTTCTGGACAGAGGGCAACATTGGAGTAAATTTCCAGATGGTTTACAAATTTCCTGTGGTGATTTCTGGTCTTTATTTTCTCTTCCAAAATTCTGTGATTCTAAAATCTGAAGATTTGGGACACATTTTTGTTTTTAATCTCAACGTTTGTAAGATGCTCTTTCTCTTCTGAGAAAGTGAAATTCACAGCTGCTATTTTTTCAAATCCCCTGTCAAGCATTTGATGTACTGGGTATGTTTTCTGTTTTTATTTTAGTCATTATTTTTTATGCTGGTTTAATTGAGCGGTGCCAGTCTATGGGATGCACAGACTAATCACTGTGCAGGGAGAAGTGTTAAGATAACATACAGAATTAATACTGCTCAAGTTGTGTTTTCTTACAGCAAGTGCTGTTTCAACGTATGCAAAATCCAGGGAAGCGTGGCCCCAGAACTGTAGGAGGAAATAAAATTCCTCCCTTACAAACCCACCCATGCTGATCACTGATGCTGAAATGTTGTCATTTAGTGAGGGTCAGAAATTGCGCCTAACAAGGAACGCTGACATCTTCAGACAGCTTGAATGATGGCAATTTCTCTCTTTATCCCATGCTCGCTCTTTTGAATATTGATAAAACTCCCACATGAGTTAACCAGAAGCGAGGGATTGCAGGTGGAAATGAGTTGCAGCTTGTGAAGGCAACGATTGTGGTGTTGATAAAAACAGTATAGTTTTTCTATTCCTCCTGAATTATTTGAGAGAAACGCCAGAACTACCACTGAACCCTGACCCTCTAAGTAAGGACAGTAGCTTTCTTTCATGAACTGGCAACCTATTTTCACAAAACCAGAGGTAACTTTCTATAGTTCCTAAAAAAAAATATTCAGAAGTTGGACAACAATTCTGAAAGTTACTGGGGAATAAATGGGTGATGGACTTCATTGCAGAGCCGCCTTATCTTTGGCTGTCAGATTCAAGTATTCAATACCCTAATTGTAGGCAGGAGGGTTTACATCTAATGTTGGGTTTGGAGTCAGGTGATGCTGAGTTGTTATGGTCCAGTTAAATTTTTTTATGTTTTGAATTGCCAGGAGAGTGTCAGTGTTTGATGTTAACCTGGTGACAGAAGTGGATTTTGGCATAAAAATAGAACACAGAGCAGAAAGATTGTAGGGATGACAACTATTGCAGTGGGGAAATGACAGAAAAAATCAAACAATAAGCTTGTAGATGAGTAAACAGCCTCAAGCCACCTTCCTGTGTCTGAACGTGGTCAGTATCTTCTGGCAGGATTCTCTGGATAGCATTTAAAATGATGTATTTAGACCATTAAAGGATTGTTAGTTTAATCCTTTCCTCAAACAGCATCAATTACAATTCATGCATGGGAGTATCTGTAGAAGTGGGATTTGGGAAGAAACTCCCTAGGCTCCAGCTGACCACGGACAAGTACGTGGGAATTGGGTTTGTCTGCAGCGCAGGGGCTCTGGTGCTATTTTGTCGTGTGTTCTGAGTCTTCTGGCAGATCCTAACAGAAAGTGTGTTAATGTGCAAAATTTAAAACAGTAGACTTGAATGTCCGGTGTATCCAACTTGCTACACAGCAGGATGATCTGAGTTTCACTTTGGCAGACTTTGTACAGAGAACAAGTTAGCTGTTCAGTTACTTTTAAAAGATACCTGCAGGCTGTTAGGACAGATAAATGGAAAGAAGAAACTCTAACAGAAATGCCGATTCGATCAGAAATTTCTTGCAGGAAGTAGTTCTGCTTCTGACTACAGTTCTCGTCTATTTGTTCTTAACACTAGTGACAGAGAAAGGAAAACCCTGTTTTCTAAAATTACTCCCGAAAAAGAAGTTGAAAGCTCTTGAATTGGTTCCTTTTATTTGATTCTGTTTTTTATTTCCCTGCCCAGAAGTTGTTTAAACAGATTTTTTTCCATTCCCATTGAAACAGTAACGTACTGAAGATCTTTCCAAACATATATGTTATATTTCTGTCTTAAAAGCAAATCTAACACAAGCCTATCAAAGCTCAGAATGGAAGTATTTTATCCCCAGACTCACAGTGAGTCGTATTTCTATTTTTCACTCTTTTTCTAAAGCTAAATAAAGCTTACTTTCTGTAAGTAGCCAGTCTGGTAGCATACAAAGGAGCTGTTCCTTTCAAAAATATGTGCCTGCTTGTTGAAATATGTGAAATTTTGTATGATGGGCTTGTACTGACAGTCCATTTTTTATTTGTATTTTGTCAAGTGAGACTTCCTCTGCCTGTTTGCACAGTGCCTGCAGCTGGTGAGATTGTTCAGCCCAGCTTCCACTTCTGCTATGTAATTCTTTTGCTTTGCCCACTCATGTCCATAAGGCCTTGATCTGTGTTTCGCTGACTTTATAACTGCAAATAACTCAGGTTTGTTTTACAGGCTAATTTTTAAAGCATCTGTTGCTAAATTGGTAAGAAGCTAATACACTTCAGCACCTCGGAAACAATGTTGGGTATTTTTGCCAGTACAGTCCTAAACAGCCTACACCCTGTCTTTATTTATATATTTTAAAATTTTGTTTATTTTTTTTTAAAGAACGTGGTGTTGCCTCAGTATTGCAGAAGGCTTTGGGCTTGTTCTGTGGTTTGCCTCAAGGATGAAAGGAGGAGGTGCGATCGTGGTATTTAAATTAATAAAATTACAGGTTTAAAGATAATTCACCCATATCTAAACATGTAATTTTAAGTCATTACCAAGGTGGAATCTCGATGAGAGAACCATGGAATGAAATGGGTGCAACAGTTTTGAAACTAGAATAGCTTAGGAGTGTGCAGGTATTAGCTGGAAACTTGACCCAGGGTAGAGATGGTGGGTGTTTGAGCACAGAGGAGCTCTGATGTCCCTTGTTGTTTCCACCACGGTGCCGAGGTGTCACTGTAGGAGATGTTGTATGTTCTGCAGCTGCATTGCTTTTGTCCCATTGCACCAATATCATCCTGTAAATGGCCTCTGAAACGTGGTGTAATGTGACTCAAGGTCTGCAACTGAAAAATGGCATCTAGCTTCCGTTGTTTTTTAAAATATCTGGAAGCTAATGGGATGGGCATGTGCACCCATTGGAGTAGTCTCTCAAATGTGCATGTGATTTAAAAAATGGCTCCAAGCTACAGCAGGTTTGTCAAAGGAAATTCTGCCACATTAGTTTGCCTTTGCAGAGAGAGAAGAGCGAGGCCCCTCCTGTATAGTGTACAGGAAAATAATGCTTTGTTTTATGGACTCTTTTCTAAGAGAAGGAATTTTGTTCCAACACTCCAGGCCTTTTTTTTTTTTTTTTTTTTTTTTTTTTTTTACATAAACCTTAACTAAAGGCTAGATGTAAAAGGTAAACACTTCAGAAGACTCTGGTTGTTTGATTAAATTATTATTATTATTTTTTTTTACCTGTTATTAGTTGACAATTTAGCAATGATGCTAGACTTCTGGAGATTTCTAGCAGGTAAGAAGGACAGTGAGATTTCTTTACTTAAAAAAAATAAATAAATAATTGATCGGTATTTTCTCTGGCAGAGAGACTGTGGCCTTGATCTGGACTTCGAAGTCAGTCAGTGTTCACTTCAAGATTTGGCTTACCACACTCTTAATAGACATAAAACACTAAATCAAACGTAGCTTATTCAGACCTACTCAGTAAATGATTTTTGCTTGCTTGGGTTGTTTGGCTTGCCTGAGCTGTTTTTTGCTTCCAGGTAGTGGAATATGGTCTGTTTGTGAAGCATTGTAAGGTTGAAGTTTATCTTCTGGAGTTGAAGCTTTGTGAGAACAGCAATCCCGATAATGTGGTGAGCTGCCACTTCAGTAAAGCAGATACTATTGGTAAGTATCTCACTGATATCTTGAGGGACATAGGAACAAACCTCTCTGTTTTGGCCGTTAGAAGAAAGAGATTGATGCCCTGGAGCAAGTCAAGTGGAGACTAGAAAATCCATGAGGGAGCAGCTGAACATCTGAACTGGAGGGCCCAGAGGAACGGAGAAACCTCTGTCCTCAGAGGTTTTAAAGACCCAACTGGATAAGGCCCTAACCAGGCTGGTCCAAATTTAGTGTTGACCCTGCTTTGAGTTGGCTGCACTACAGGCTTCCAGAGATTCCCTCTAGCTGCAGTGATTCTACCTATGTAATGCAGCGAGTCAAGGTTAAGAGCATAAAGCAGCTTGTGGCTAACTTGTCTTTGAGAAACATCCATGTTATTCCTGTGTAAAGCAGTTCTAGTTCCGGTTCTCCTCTTGCCTCCTTCTTCCTTGTGTGTGAATATTTTAGCCATTTTATTAACAGCTCTTCCTGTGCAACTATTCTTGCTGGAATTCGACATCTTTCTCCGTGTCATTCCTTGTATTTTTCTGTTTATAAATGCTGAATGTCAGCTATGATGCTGTCATAAAGATTCTTCTTTCACTTTGCTGGTGTATGTGAGTGTAAACACTTCATGCTTGAACCTGTATTTTCAAATAATAAATTTTTTCACAGAAGTTGACCTTTGGGCAGAAACTTCTCAATGGGACCCATTACTGGATTGAGCCTCTGACCTCAGTGTGTATGACTGAAAATATACATTTTTGACTTTTATTTAGTTTCAGACTAAACAACTGAAAATTTAGATTGGCAATTGTCGCTTCTTTGATATATTTTCTACCCAAAGGTGTTGCAGGAGCAAGGATGTACCTCCTTGCTGAGAGTCTGGCTTTCTCAAAAGCACTCACGTCTCAGAAGTTCTGTTTTTGTTTCACCTTCTCCCCTCTAACAGCTACCATTGAGAAAGAAATGAGAAAATTATTTAATATCCCGTCTGAAAAGGAAACTAGGTTATGGAACAGGTATATGAGTAACGCTTACGAGCAGCTCAGCAAGCTGGATAGTACTGTGCAAGATGCAGGGCTCTATCAGGGTCAGGTAAGGGGCTTTTTATTTATTTTTTTAATGATCACGTTAAATGATGACAGTGTACACTGATATGCTCTGCAGTTCAGTTTGTGTTTTCTTGGGCAATGTTTTATCTGAAGACTGTTGGATTTTAGATTCTCATTTAATTCTCTAATACAAAATTGTATTCTCTAATGTTAAATCTGTTTAATTCCCCATTATGTATTTAGAGCAGACTTGAGGAAGGGATTGTTAATGATTTTGCAGTGTTTATGTACAGAATTGCATTTATCTGTTACTTCTTCATGAACTCTTTTCAGATTGTTCTAATAGAAGTGAAGAACGAAGACGGAACGTGGCCCAGGCAGTCTCTTCTGGCAAAGTAAGCACATGTGAATGGGTTCCTCTGTGTTGCTCAGCTTGCTTGTTTTAGTGACAGTTTGTTCTCTGTGAAAGCCTGATTGTCTCTTTCCATGATGGGTGTGTGTCTTGTGGGTATTTTGAAGGGGGAAATAAAAGCTTGAATGTAAATATTCTGCAGTTGTTCTGCTGCCAGTTTCTTGTTTTAGCAACCTTCTACTGTTTTAAAGCCTGTTTCCAGTAGGCAGCGTAAGGATTAAATAGCTTACGTTTGTGCAGTGCTTAGGAGACAAGCAAAGTGCTATTTATATCTAGCTAGCCTGCTTGAAAACCTGCTTCTGGGAACTGCACAGCCAAATAAAAGCTTATTTCCTGCTACTGTGTAACAGAAAGGGTGTTGAAATACGTAGCCAAAGCCTCTAGAAGTGAGTGCAGCTTGAGTTTTGGTGGTTTCTCCTTAAAAAATAGCTAGATTTCCTCCCCTACGTGCCAAAAATGCAATCGGAAGTTTGTAGATATTGACACAGCTCTTGGTTGTCTCTTCTCTAATTTGAAGAAATAAGCGGTGAAATGGAGGCTTGGTGAAATATTGCGTGATGTAGAAAGAAGGTTGTAGAAAACCCTCTTGTATCCACTTCCTTGCTGCAGAAAGAAAGGTACAATGTAACTGAGCTAATCAGACTCAGTACTGCTGCAGAACCTGTGCATATGTCAAATAAAATCAATGTATGAAACTCGCTGCCCAGAGAACTTGGTGAGATGAAGCTGTTACTAGCATAAGATTTGAGGTCTGGCTCAGAATTGGATTGTCAGCAGCACCTATTCTAAGATGATCTTCTGCCTTTGAGATCTGCTTTGAGATGGGTCGTGAGAATGTCCCTAGGATTGCCATGAGCTTTCTATAAGAGTGCAGCGTGAAAAATGTGTGAATAATGATTATGTAGAAAGGAACCCTGTACCTTTCCCGAACGTCAGTTGTCTTCATTTTGGGTAGCTAATCTGATATGTAAGCATATGTATCCCTAGTGATATTGGGAACGGTTAACAGTGTGTATTTTAATATTTTCTTATTCAATAGGGTTTTTATTATAATGCAGAACTCATGAAATTGTTTGACTAGATGGTTACCTCCTGCTGATGGTGGTGGAGAAAATGGTAACAAGTTGTAACGATGGGATTGCCTATTCCTTTGTTCTTTATTCTGACTATTTACTTTTCTGTTAGTTAAAGAAACTAAGCCTGTATTTTCTACGTAATTCATTTTCCTTACTCAGGTAGGGGCATTGGTTTAGAAATTACATTCTCTGGCAGTCGTGGCCCATGTTTAGTCTTGTGGTTTAAATGCATAATATCTGTTTGCTCAAAAAAGCCTTTGGAAAGATAAAGAGAGAAAGTAGTTGCTGGCCAGATGGCTTCCCTCTGCTCTTCCGGTCCTGACACTGCTGTGTGCTGATCAGCCTGCAAACTGCCCATCAAGTGATAAAGGCCTCTCTTTATGGCCAGGATAAAGTTACTTTCAAAGAAAATAATATACTTTGTCTTTAGGTCAGCCCAGTCTCTCTTGGGATAACTTTATGCCATTGTACACCCAACTCAGCTGGGTTATGTAAGACTTTTCCTGGGCAGTTGAGTCTGTATTTGCATTTAATAAATGGTCTCAGGGAATTTTTCACCTGCTGTTTGCTGCTCCCTCCATTGCCTGTCTTCACTCCCTATCAAGCAGCAATGGTCTGGGCTGGCATTCTAGACTAGATCATTCATTAGTGGAGGTTAACGAAGCTCTTCTGCTTTTCAAGAGTTGTTTCACAGAGCTTTTACCTATTCGTAAGGGACCTAAAATGTAGCTTGATATTCTTTACCTATTTTTGTTACTCAATCTATTCTTGGTGTGTAGGTTAAATTTAACTTATTTCCTGAGTCATTGGCAGTCTTCCACACTAATCCATTTGTAACTGTCTATCCTCGTCTTTTCACTTTAGTTGTAATCTGTTCTGAAGTTTATTTGGTCTCCTTCCCTCATATTAACGTGTAGATACGGAGTACTTTGTGGTCGTAGTTTGGCTCAGTTACCCAGGGGTAACTGACATCAAGTAAATTAAGTTGGTGAGAAAGGAAGAGGGAGAGAAAAATAGGAAAAGGGAAGGTACCAGGGAGTTTGTGCATCTTATAAATTACGTGCACTGATGAGGTGCTTGCAGTTGCAATATTCTGTAGTAAAGAAGGTTCCTGTCTGTAGGAACTAACTGATGCTTCCGGGAAGCAAAAGGTCTTGTAGGAAGTCAACTGGGAACCATCTCAACAGGATGGCTGGGAAGGCCAACCAAGGCTGGCACCATGGAAACCTCTTCTGCTGCCTGTGGAGCTAAGCAAATCTGCACCACTCGTAGGTGCTATGTCTCCTAAATGCGTGTGGGTTCTGCAGGATGGAGCCCCTCCTTCTTCATCCAATAGCAGCAGGAGCCGTGAATGCTCTGTGTTGGAGAGTGGTTTGGAGCAGCATGTGTAGGGCTCAGCTGAATTAACTCTAATTTTTAATCCAATTCAATGCAAATTGAACCTTCAGTTCAGTATTCCCAGTATTCTGCTTTCCCTTCAGTATTCTGTTTCTCAGCTGGAGAAAATACTGTTTAGCCAGGGCCGTGGAGATGATATCTGGAGGTTTTTCTTTGGTGTACCTCACTAATATTAATAGCTTAGGGGAAAACTCTTCTCTATTTAGACTTTTAGTGGTGTAAACAGGATGGGAAATAGTCATCTGCAGCCAAGAGAAGGAATGCTGAGCATCGGTGCAAAGCGAGCCCTTGGAAAAGTGGGAGCTGAGGTTTTATTTGCTCCGTGCATGCGCGGAAGGTGACTGTGAGGTGTGCGGGTTCGCTCTGTGGTCTCCCCCAGCACGAGCTGCTTGTCAGAGGCTCTGGCTTCTTCTAGGAGAGCTGCTTTTCTATGCGCTTGACCCCTGATGGAAGGATTTCAAAATTGTCAATAACTCTCTACAACTTGTTCCTTTTCGAGATTTTTATTTACAAGTTTCTGCAAAATATGAGCCTGAACTCTGCTAGCTCAGCATTTGCCCCATCACATGGTCTGTAGCCTGCATATCATTTTCTTAGTACAAATGAGTAAGCAATCAGGCTAGACTTACCAAAACAGCACTTGTCCATCAGGTATTGCATGATAAAATGGAAATTTTGCTGACATAATTCCTATCTTACCAACTGTTGTCTGCCTTGTCAGTATGGAGTCGCAAACAATCTTTCTGGTTCTTGAAGTCACTACTTTTTGCTGTTTCTCTTCGTGATATTACACTCACTGGTAGCTTTGTGCACTCATCACAGTGGACTTCTTTCTTCCTGGTACTATTTTGTGGTGAAAGTGTTAAGCTGTCAATCAGAAGCTTTGCCTCAACTGATTTATCTTGATTTAGGCATCTGTTTAATTTGATACAATATTTCAGTGATATGAAACTTTTAACTGTGTGACAAGAGGTAAGACATCTGTGATCAATGGGCAATTTTTAAAGACTTAATGCAATAACTGAATGCCCTTTCATGTTTGAAACTACCATCTCCTCCTCCTGGTCCCCCATGTCCTAGGGATTTCAGAGCACTCCTTCAGTGAATGAGGTTGGATTAATATGGACACATCTTTCTTTCCTACCTTTAAGTTCTTGACTTTGCACCTGACATCGTGATTTCTGAGTAGCATCATGTACATGGAATCTGTTGAGGCTGCTTTTGTGTAAGTTTTCTAAATGAAAATCCTTCGTGGTCTCTAGTTTGTCAGTTAAATATTAGTCCCAACTTTTCTTCCTTTGACGGAAGCTTTTAGCCCAAATATTTTGATGTTAAGGTGGGGTTTATATTAGTAGTTTAAAGGAAAATGGTTAATTCTGATGCACCAAAGATACCCTCAACTGAATTGGAAATACTTTTCCTTACCTCTCTTCTCCTGCCACTTGCCTTTTACAGTATTTCTTTCAAAGTGTACAGTTAAACATTTACTCCACTTGCCAACTGCGTGGCCTCACTGTCTCCATGCCAGATTAATCACGTCATCTCGACCCTGCTCGTCTCCAGATTTCTCTCCGCTTTCCCTTTGGGTGGATCCCTGGAAGTTCATATGCTAAACCTTGCAGTTGCTGCTATTAATTGGCGAGCAGGTAACAGGGTGTATCAGTTAAGTATCGAGTTGTATACATGAGGGTCAAGAACTTCAGGCCCTGTGTGCTGGGCTCTTGGAGGACTGTGACTCCTGTGTCCTGGTTCACTCTCCTGATTGTGCCTTTATATAGAAGCCTGCAAGTGGAAACTGGATATCCACACTGCCAACCAAACGTGTGTTTCTTTTAGATGGAAAGCTCATTGATTCCTACCGACAAGAGGATTTTACCTGTGATTTGCTGGATTGACTATTGCTGGCCACTTCAAAACCACGATGGCAGATCTTCCCAGAAGAGGTGTTTTAGCTCAGGCAGGACTTGACTTGGGAGACAGTTTTGTGTAACTGGGAGGACTAATTCAGCAAGTTGTATCCTCAAACCCCTGCCATTATTGATTTTTCAGATTTCTCAACTTATGTGTGGCTACACAAATCCTTTCTTCGCTGTTTTTCATTCGCGTGTGGAGACAACATTTCTGTTGCTGCAGGTGTTCATCCCTTCTGGACATGTAGCACCTTTCTTGGGCCATGGTAGCACCAAAATGGAAGCCACAGGAGATTGGGCTCTTCCACTCCAGTGTCTGTTACATCCCTAAGCAGCAAATGAAGCAGACTGAGAATAGGTTTGATAGTAGCCTAAAGGAGGTTACTAAAGTCAAAGGAGAAAAAGTGTTTGCCTATGCCTGGAGCATGGAGCAGGTGCCTGAGGAGTTCCATTTCCAGTGCAGCTGAAGTCACAGTATGTGAGACTGCCTTGGAGAGGAGAATGGCTTCTGACAAAAGTTGATGTGTTCCCCTGGAACAGAAATCCTTTGTGGCCACCAGGGATAGATCTTTGACATCCAGAACTTGTATCCTCACTTGCACATGCAAGAGAGGAAATATTGTGGAGTTGCAGCCTGCCTGGGTTTGCAAGGAGCTTTTGGAGATCGTCTAGTCCAAACCCCCTGTTCGAGCAGGGTCACCTGTAGCGCGTTGCACAGGATCTTGTTCACGTAGGTTATGAATATCTTCAGAGGAGCTCCACCTGTCCCGGTGCCCCGTCACCCTCTCCGCAAAGTTCTTTCCTCATGTTCAGTCAGAATTTCTTGAGTTGCAGTTTGTGGCTGTTGGTGGGTACCCCTGAAAATAGTCTGGCCCCATCTGTCTTCCACCCTCCCCGCAGATATTTTATACACTGACAAGATCTGCTCTTAGTCTTCTCCTGTGCAGGCTAAACAGGCCCAATTCTCTTGGCCTTTCCTCCTAAGATATGTTCCAGTCCCACAGTCATCTTTGTGGCACTGTGTTGGTCTCCCTCCAGTAGCTTCATGTTTGCTGGGAGCCCAGAGCTGGACATGGTGTCCCAGCTGTGGCCTCAGCGGGGCTGGCTGGAGGAGAACGATCCCTCTGAGCTGCTGGCGACACTCTTCTAGTGCCACCCCGGAGGGCATTGACCTTCTTGGACTCAAGGGCACATTGCTGGTTCCTGTTCTGCTTCTGGAGTGATGGGCTGTGTTTTAAGTAGAAGAGACCTGCTTTGGTTGCCTTTTACCCAGAAAGTGTGGGTTTTTTCTTTTGCTTTTAGAATTGGGTATTTTTGCTTGCTTGCTTCAGGGTGATCTGTTCCTCCTTGGTTGCTTTACTTTTTCAGACTGAGATGCAGGTTTTGCTTTAAGCAAGAGCTGCTCCTCCTGCTTTTGATGCTTTTGCTAATTTTTCTGTGCCAGACAAGTCCTTGGAAACGTGACCACATAGATCAAAGTAGTAAATTTGGGGTGAACGAACTAACCTTAATGTGGCAAGTCCGTGGAGTTTTGAGGGGTTTGGGAAGAGGCTGAAACAACAAAAAAGGTCGTGGCACTGTTTCTACTTTTTCCTTTCTCCCAGATCAAGTACTGCAACTAGCAGAAACTTTACTACCTCCTCGAAATCATCAGCGAGTTCTTACTCCTCAGTGTCTGCCACTTCTGTCATTACTAATGGTGATAGCAGTAACTCCTATGGACTGAACAGCTCCCACCTGGGCAGGGGGTAAGAGCAGGAACGTTTCTTTGTTTCCCTCGGCCTTTCTGTGAATCTGCCTGCACATCCTTGCCTGCCTAGAGGAGTAAAATACTGCTTGTGCTCCCCTTGCATATGTGTTAGCAAACCAGCTTGGGAAGCATCCTCACTCTGCTTTTCCCTCCTTGCTTGGAAATGCGTATTCCAGAGCTTACTAACTAGTAGGGCATTGCCTGATGTTTGGTTTGGAAGGGGGTGGAGGCGAGAGGGAAAGGATTATCTTCCTGCCTTACTGGGTAGGGACAGTAAATCTCTCATTGGTTCTTCCAAAAGACCATATGGATACGCAGAGCAGGTGGTGCAGTAGGAGTGTGCTGTGTCCTTGGGCACGTGGGAAATCGGTGTGTTAGGAGGCATCGCCTAAAACCAGACTGCAGAGAGATGGACGTGACCCGAGATAGCACATGGCCTTCACACTCTTGGTATCCCATTGTAGCCACTATGGTGATGCATTTCATTAAGCAAAAAATATTTTGACTAGGGTTTGAGCTGATCTTAGAGGCTTAACTGATGCTGGCTCAACTCACTGCCGAGTACATTGTGTTGTCTTTCTCCAGGGGTTCTGGCTTCTCCTACAACTCCTACAACTGCAGAGACTCTGCTTCCCTGTCACAACCTGGACTTTGTGGGCTCAGCAACCTTGGCAATACCTGCTTCATGAATTCAGCCTTGCAGGTAAATTACAAATATTGGGAAGAGCAGCTCTTTGGAATGGAATACAAGAACAGTTGTACAGAAGGCAGAGATCCCAGTCCGTGAGCAGGGACTTGTTGCAGGAGGTTGTTTGCAAAGGAGCTCTGCACATGAGCAAATTTAAGCTGACTTTGACCTCAAGGTGGCACAAATGATATGCAGTGACTCTGCTCACCTTGGAATAGCTTCAAAAACCCGTTTCTAGAGCACTTCTCAAAACAGCTCCCATACTTTATGTGCATGGTATTCAGCATACCCCAAGAAACCTGGACGGATGCATCTTTTCTGGTTCACTATCACTTTATCACTTGTATCTTAGACCATATTATGCTTTATGGAACCTCACAGCTAAGAGTCAAAAATATTTTTCTTCATTTTGATAATCAAAGTAACTTAATCCAAACACATTTCAGTCTTAATTTTCCACTGAAATTATTCATGTTAAGGACAAATTAGGCTTTGCTTCCTTTACCATTAGGTTTTACCTTTCTAGGCTTTTGCCTTTTTAAATCCAAATGTATTCCTTTATTTATTGCTATTATTATTTTTTATTATTTTTGCAAATTCCTGAAAACCTGTATGGAGGTAACAATTTCCCAGTGGGAGACCAGCATCAAAGGACAGTGATACATAAGCACATGGATATGGAGGTCCTACGGAGTTCTGCCACTTCCCTGGCAAACGAGGTGCTAGGAATTAGTGTCTGGACCTTGATACAGGAGATGTCCAATGGGATAAAGACAACAAATCCCTGGTCAACCAGGCTGAAGTGGAAGAGGCTGAGAAGGGCAGACTAGATTTTTCCTGACTTGCTTCAGGCTTTTAGAAAGAGCCCAGATGTAATTAATATTTTTAATTCACTTTTTAATTTATTTTGCTTTTTCTTGAGTGTTTTTTTTTTTCTCTTATGTCGTGGTCCCCCATGGAACTTGTAGTTAAGCTGTGGAACTTACTACCCCTGGAAGTTGACCTTATCCCCGGTGTTACCTGTGCCTCTGTCTTAGAGGCACATGCCTGGAGGCTGGAGAAGATGGAGGAAATGCCGCTTCCCCTCCCTTCCCCTTTGGTGCTTAAGCTCTGCTTTAGTATCTGATCGAGGCTACTGTGGGAAATTGAATTAGAAAAACAAACAGGCTGTAATTAGTTCAGGGTTTTTTTTTTGTTGTTGTTGTTTTTTGAAGTCTACTTTTGCCTAAGCAAGGAAAATACCATCTACTGATGCATGTTAATGCAGGTAGGTACAGTATTAAAAACGAGATAAGATAAAATGATGCCACACAGGGAAGACTTGCAGTTTTTCCTGTCAGTGTAGGTAGCATCCAAAGATTTTTCTTCTTTGTTTTTATAAATGGAATTTGACTGCTGCGCACTGTGCTTTTGTTCTTTTTTGTTTGTTTTGTTGCCTTTTTAAGAGTAACCATACTATGAATTGCAGTTGTTGCCTAGGCTCCATGTATATATTTAAATATATAACTGGATTCTCAAATTTTGTTCCGCTAGACTTGTTATTAATTTACTCTCTGCTCTGATGTGCATGTTGGGTTTGTTATCTCATCATCAAGCAGTTTTATTATCCTGTGCAATAAATTCACATTCCTTAATGCTCTTTCAGTGTCTAAGCAATACCCCGCCTCTGACCGACTATTTCCTGGAAGATAGATATGAAGCTGAAATAAATCAGGACAATCCTCTGGGGATGAGAGGCGAAATTGCAGAAGCCTACGCAGAGCTCATTAAACAGATCTGGTCTGGGAGACAGTCCCATGTGGCCCCACGTATTTTTAAAGTAAGTACTCGATGTCCTAGTAGCATAGGTTTATGCCAGGAAACAAAACAAAAACAACAACAACAAACCCCCAGAAGAACAACTGACTGAATAGTATCCCATCCCAGAGTTGATTGCTGTTCCTAAGCACTATTCTGGCCTTTAGTGTGCATCTGAGGACCGTTGGCAGATCGATCAAAATTATCTTTATTAGGAAACTAGACAAGGCCAGGTGAATTTTTGGATGCAAACTCGACATCTTGTCAAACTTGTCGAAAAGGTGAGCGAGCTATGAATTCAAATGGAATCATAAAATGAAATGTGCATCTTTTTTCTAGCACATAAAACTTTAATTGTGCTTTTGCTTTAAGTATAATAAAGATGCACTGAAGCAGATCGAAGGAGACGCGTTGGAAGAGTATTAAATCTTTGTTTTCCTCTTGCAATCTTGTAAAACGAGGAAGCAAACTTCTCAAAAATATGAAATAAGCAATGCCCACCTTACAGCTGCTTCTAGGGCTTTACTTGGTGTGATTGGAAGCTGAGAGAGGAGATGCTTCTCAGGCCTCCAGAGCAGGTCATATGGGCTGCGAAAGTCCCTTCTCTAGGGCAACAAGATGTTCCTTAACATCTGCACTGTGGCATTGGTGACTTGTCATGCACCACTACTGAAATTGCTCTGTAAACCTCTGCTCAGAGGAATCATAGTGAACCTCAGCAAAAAAGTCTTAAAATGGAGTGTTTCTGCTCAAGTGGGATCAGTGTAGCATTTCATTTCTTAGGACAGCACTGCTCGTGTTGTTCTGCTAACGACCGGTGCTGCTCAGCGACAGCGTTAACTTTAATAAAACAGCCTTGCAGTTCGGGCTCTCTTGCAGTCCTCCCAAGCGGTTAACATGCACAGAGCATAGCTCCAGCAGCCTGTTGGACTCATCATGTTAGTGGAAAGATCACTTGAACTGATGAGTCCCTTCAATTAGTTGCTGTTTTTTCCTGTGGGATCCTTTCTGTTACTTTTCAGGAGCAAGAATATTTTAAGTGATGCAGTTGTGGGATGGCCCTCATTGCATGTAACAAGCCAAGCTGCATTTGGATGAGCTGTTGCTGACTGTCACAGCTCAGACAAATGTTACGCTTCTTAGGTTCACATTTCTATTTTTAGAGTAGCTCAAGGCTACTGAAACTGTTCTCAGTCTTAGTTTGAATCCTTTGTGGAAGATACTTGTGAACTAGCACATGTAGGTGGGCTGCGAGGCTCCAAACACTCCCAAGTATCTTTTTTAGCAAGTCTGCACTGTGGTTACTGCAGGCCTTCTGGGAAAGCCAGAAGTACAAAACATTTGGTAGGTTTTTGTGGGGTGCTCATTTTCAGGTATCTAAACTGGGGGTTGTAACTTGGGTTGTGAGCATCACAGCACTAGATGCTTTCTTCCCTCTCAGCACTTTGGAAAAAGGAAGAATACTTGGGAGAACCACCGTGACATCCTCAGTGGCCACTACTAGTGTCTAGTTACATAGTGTTGATCTCTGCAAAAGCCACTGTGTGACTGTTTTCCTTATTCCGTTGTCTTTTACACCCAGCTAATACCTACCTCCTCCTAACTCTTGCATCATGTTTTAGACACAGGTTGGCCGTTTTGCTCCTCAGTTTTCAGGATATCAGCAGCAAGATTCCCAGGAGCTCTTGGCTTTTCTTCTAGATGGCTTACATGAAGACTTGAATAGAGTGAAGAAGAAGCCCTACTTGGAGCTGAAGGATGCCAATGGCAGACCTGACTTGGTAGGGTGCTCTTTACTTGAGTACAGCCTTGGCTTCTAATGGGGTAGAACTGAGTTTTACTCACACTACCTGCCCTCTTCACTCCCCACGGGCCACCCAAACATCCTTCCTGCAAGACAGTGCACCTGGGAGGGGAGGACCCTGCCACGCTTGGTGGCCTCTTTGGTTCTTCATGAGCCCTTACAGCACAGAGCTGTTGTAGGGCACGTTAGAGCAGAGAATCTCTCTTGCCCTGGTGTGCAGTGTCACTACTTGACACTACCATTCTAGTGTATGTTTGTGTATATGGCATTTCCATACATACGCACATCTGTCTCAAAAGAATCAGCTTTTGAGTTTTCCCTGGTCCCTGTTCTTACCCTTCTACTGAAGTTTGTGAGAACAATATTGTTTTCTTTTCCTTTTTATAGGTGGTGGCAAAAGAGGCCTGGGAGAATCATAGACTGAGAAATGACTCTATCATTGTGGATATTTTTCATGGCCTTTTCAAGTCTACTCTTGTTTGTCCTAAATGCTCCAAGATTTCTGTGACGTTCGACCCCTTCTGTTATTTAACCCTCCCGTTGCCCTTGAGAAGAGATCGTCTCATGGAAGTTGCTCTGGTGTATGCAGACCCACAGCACAGACCTGTCCAGGTGAGGCACACCTAGAACGTGAATCTCAGGCTCCTTCTCTTAGGTCTTGTTTCAAGGTTGAGGCTTTTCCAGTCATGTCACTAGCATTAATCTCTGGTGTGGGGAGAAACGGCAATATTTTTTAACGTATAACTAGGAATTGGGTGTATAAAATCAAGTGGCTTTGAAAAATCTCCGTCCATGAGGCTAGGATCATAAAGTGAAGGTTATTTATATGTTCCTATGCTGAACTTTCTCATGTGATATCCTGCTTCATGAAAGCAGTAATGTGGTGGCATAGTCATGTTTACCTCTGGTGCCCTGGGAAGTGTCAAGGTGAAACTTCTGTGAATGGCTAGGACCTTTCAGTGTCAAAAAGAAGTGATAAAACAGAATCCCTTTTGCAAAAAATTAAGAAAAAAAGCAAACTCCAAGCAAAACAGCAACTTGATGGCTTTTAAAGCCAGCTCATTACCAAGGCTCACTTTGTTGGTTTGTTTTTTTCCTCCAGAGGGGCCTATAGCTAGGCAAATGCATACTTAAAATAACCTTGCACTCGCCACGTGTGGTAAGGAAAGCACTCCTCTTACCCTATGCCTATAAATTCAGGGCTTCCATTTGCTCATTTTCTCCCTAGCTTGCTTTTATTTTGCCTGCTGTAAACCTGATTTTGTTTTTGTTCCTAGTACCGAGTTGTGGTGCCGATGATGGGGGCTGTCTCAGACCTGTGTGAATCGCTCTCCAAACTGTCCGGGGTTCCTGCAGAAAATGTAAGGTTAAACACAACATAATCCCTGTGTTAAATGGGTGTGGTTTATGAAGCCTTTGGTTTGACTTTTAGGTGGGTGATAAGCACAAAATAATGGAATATTAGCAAAGCTATGAGTTTGAGTACTGCTCCTTAGTTACATGAAAAACATCTCTAGTCATTTTGACACTTTTAAACCTTCTTGATGGGATTTGGGCTGTTTCTGTCAGGCTGACTTGCAAGTTTGGAGAATTTCATCTGTGCTTCTAACATCAACCTCTTGTTTGCCTTGCTTTTCTGATCCATTTTAATGAACACAGCTGATGAGCTCCTGGTTGCCATTAAAGAAAACATCGTTGCTCTGTTCGGTGTGCTGAAAATTCTGCAAAAGAAGGAATAAGCAATAAACTCTTTGAATGTGAAGTTAGTTTGCCTAAGCTACCTAAACTCTTAGTGTAATCTCTTTGCAAATATCATTTGCTGTTCTAGATGGTGGTGACAGACGTGTATAATCATCGGTTCCACAAAATCTTCCAAATGGATGAAGGTTTAAATCATATCATGCCAAAAGACGACATTTTTGTGTGAGTAAAGTGAAAAGATACCATGGTGTGAAGAATGCTACAGAATGCTTGCTTTGGTTGCAGCATATAAAACATGAATCTCTCTCTTTTTTTCTTTTTTTCTTTTTTTTCCCTTCAAAACGCAGGCCTTGCTTTAGGCCCTTTCCACCACAGCTCCTATTCTTGTATCTTATGCCTCTATCTAGACTCTGTTTTGCAAGTGCAGAGGTGCTTTACATGTGTGTGTTCCAGTACTAAGGCAGCACCTCTCCTAGCAGCAGAGCAGCCTGTGCAAGTTCTGGTAGGTGTTTCCCTCACAGAAAGGAAGTCATGGCCTCTGGTGATGTGAATTGGGCTTTTTGTTCCATATTCACAAATAGGCTTGCATAAAGTTCCTAATGGAAGGCTAAAACCTGTATCTGGGCTGCAGCTGCACTTTCTCTCGTATTTTCAGGCAAGCTCAGGCTGGCTTTTCTTGTGCTGCAAATCAGCCCAAAGCCCTGGAGTTGGTTATTAGCGTAACGTGAGGTCTAAGCTGTTACACTCTGTGTCCTATGACATTCAGCCAGTTGTTATAGCACTGAGCTAACGGTGGCTCTGAATGGGTTTGGTTTTGTTGGACTCCTGAGTGGTGCTCCTGCTGCTTGCATGTCATTGGAAAGGACTGAGTAGACCTGCTTCAGCAGTTCCTAGAGGCTTAAGTTAAGGATTTGGTTGTGCTTGGTGTATGAGGTGGCTCGAGTAACCCACAAAAGCAGGAGAAAAACAAAAATGTTGCTCATCTACTGCAGCTGAAAAGCTGACATACTGCACCAAAAGTAACGTCGACTCTGGGAGTTAGTGAAGCAGGAACTTGGGAAGTCAAATCCAGACCTTTCGTAGTCCTCTGTTTCTCTTCTCCTGTGAGAATGTTCCAGTGTTCATATGTTGTTTCTATAAGGTTGTTCCCGTGTGAAGTCCTGCACAAGGAGGCTGTGGTGCTGGGCGGGCATTTCGCGTGCGTTGCTTGGTGCTTTGGGGTCATGCCAGCCATTGCAACCTCGTTGCTGAGATGTAGCACCTTGAGCTTCTGGCATGCTCTTGTAGCAGTTGATTTCTTTGATTGCAGGTAAGGTCGTGGCTGGGTAGGATGCTCTGGAAGGGTGTTCAGCTTCTTTGAAGACCATTTTGCCAGAATATTTCAAAGTCATTCTTATCAAATCCCTCTTCAAAGCTAGTAAATGTAGTAGAGGAAGAAGCATGATGTTCAGATGACCTTTCCTTGAGTGCGGCTTGCAAACACAGCACACACTCCCTCTGTTAGCAGAGGATTCTTCCTGTGACTTCTGTGAACATGGAACGCAGTAATTACAACAAAACCAAGATCCTTTCCACGGAAAACTCTGAACAGCCGTGTCTGGACTGGCCCTGCTCCTGGAGGGGAAGTACTGAGCTGTGCTTCCATGTATATATTGTTGCAATCATCATTTTTCTATATTTCTAAGTGCAGATGGGGTGGTGCTGTGAATCTACCCACTGAACTGATCTGGGTTAAAAAGAACCCTGCAAGAACAGGGAGCAGGAAGAAATTTCCGTAATCCTCCTCCCTTCCACGTAAGCCCCTCTGAGGTGGTGGGAGCAGCGTGAGGGCGAGAGCAGCAGCCGGGCCCTGGGGGATGTTGTGAACCCCCTTTGCTGATGCGGCCAAGAAGATCCTGTGCAAAGTTGTAATTTCTTAACACGAAAACATTGCTCTTTAGCTCTGTAAAGAGAGGCTCGTCTCAAACGTGGCTGAGAAACGTGTATTCAGAAAGAGGGCTGATGCATCATTACATTGATACTGATAACTAATCACGTGCGGGTTCTTAATAGATAAAAACAGGGTGACTTTAAGGGCTTGTGTTTGCTGAGATGGGTGTGAGAGGAGATTAGCAGTCCCTAGGTTTTGTGTTGAGATTGAAGGCAAGAAGCTGTGGTCAGAGTGGGTTTTGAGCTCCTTTCTGCAGCGCGACCTGCATCATCCTTTGGTTTTTCTTGCCTTTTTGCTCTTTCTTGCTTGCAGAGCCTGAGCTGAGTAGGCCGTGAGAATACAGTGGCACCAGCAGAAATTTAGAACCACCTTTGGAAAAAAAAAGGCTCAAAAATTAAGAGTTGCCATCTTCATTTGCTGTTCGTTGCTTTCAGCGTCTTCCTACTCTTGGTGGTTTGAAAATGTGCAGTCTTTTTAACGAACGTCCTGCATGTTTTTGGTATCTGCAATAAGAAATAATGGTTTTGTTTAGTTGTCTTTTGTAGTGTGTATTTTTAACTTTTCCTATTTAGGAATCTCTGCTGGTCTGTGTGAATTAAGACTCATCAAACTGAAACCATCCCATGTTTTTATTTTTATTTTTTTTAAGCTTTCCAAACCTTAAATGGTAGGACTATAAGAATTACCAGAGTTGCATTTTGTGGGGATCGTTTTGTCTGTTTGGGCTTGGTATGTTGGTGCTAAAACGCTGCCATGCACCTGGAAAAGTAATATCACTTTATTTTTCATTCTGCTGGCTTCAAAAGCTGTTTCCTATTGAGAATTGACTCAATGCCTTGCAGTGCGTCTCTGCTTCCTCCTCCTTGCAGGAAAGATATTTTTAATACCTGCCAGAGGTAGCAGGGGCTCCAAGTCCTACGCTGATGGTAGCAGCCGTTGCACTGGCCCTTGTCCGTTTGAGCTACTGGGTTTTCTCTCAGATAACCTGTTAGAACAGTAGCACATGCAGCCGCACCTTGCAGCCGCTCCGTCTTCAGGGCCTGGACTTGCACTGAAACTGCCTGTTTTTTTTGTGGACCTCTCCTCCAAGGCAGGGCAGCGGGGAGCAGCGCTCTCCTCCTCGTTGTGTTCCGTGTTTAAGCTGCTCCTTCCAACCTAACTGGTTTCACTCTTATTCCTCAATTTTCCCGTTTATTAGATTTTTAAGCATGGAAACACAGGCCATGCTTGTCTTGCGTGCTGGGTGAGGACCCGAAGTGTGCGGTCTTGCGCCTGGGTTGCGCCGATGTAATGCCAGAGCTGGAAAAGAAGCTGGATCCGGACACAGATCACCATTAAAACAAATATTTCATTATTTGGACCAGTCTAATGCGTTGCCCCACGCACGGTTGTACTGGCGTAACCGAGGGGACAGCTCAGGAATGGGGACCAGGGCTTCTTGCAAGGCCACTCTGGAAAAGGTGATGCTCAAGACGTGACGTGAGCATTATTATTCTGGCAGAAGTGATTCCTAGCAGTAGTAATGGGTCGGGGTTTATTGCCCTTTGGAAGACCCTCCGCAATGTGTCACAAAGAATCACGATTAGTTGAGAAATACTTAATTTCCTTGAAGTCACTGAAGAGGATCTAAGTGCTTGTGGAAGGGCATTTTTGTTCCTTAGGTTTCCGTAAAGGCTCCTCCTTTGGAGAAGGGAGGGGAAAGGTCCAGGTGCTCGGCATGTAGCTCTGCATCCATCTATGTATTCTGCAGTGTTCAGCTGGAGAGACTTCTCTGCCAGCCCCCACGGTATTGAGGGGTGCGTCCCTAGGTAAACTGTGCTGTGTATCACTGTCAGAAAGCAAACTACCTTTATATTAACAAAGGAGCTTAGCTGCTGTCTAAGGGACAATATTCCTGTTTTGTGGTTCGCACCTACAGTAGTGTCACTTGAAATTCACAGTTTAAAAACCCCTCCTGCTTCACAAATCTAAGCTAAAGCTATCAATAGTTAAGATAGAGTTAAGATGGTGCCCTAGTGTCACCAAAAAAACCTTAATTTGGTTGAGCTGAGAAGATAGGAATTGATTCAAGGAAGAAACTTGCTGGAAGCTGTTTGTCTACCATGTTTTCAGGGGGAAAAATAAAAATGCCAGTTTTTTATGGATAATTTAATTGCTTCATATAGTGAAATCAGTTTCTATTTATTTGCATAACGGAAAAGACAGATTTGTAATTTTTATCGGTGTTACAAATTGAATGGAAAAACAGCGTTTGTGGATATTGGCCCATAGGGCAGCAAGTCTCAGGAAGAGAAAGGAAAAAGGCTGGAAAAAGGGACCTGGAGAAAGATAACTGCTCTTCCTGGTATATGCTGCAGGTCACGTTCTCAGGTACCGACTGTTAACCTAGAAGTAATTCTAGAAGCATTTAAAATCCATGCATGAAATGCAACTTGTCGCATGACTGCAGAAGACCGTGGCCTCACTGCATTAAATAAGAAATGTCTTATTTAAAATCCTGTGTTCAAATTAACCCAAGATGCCTGAAGATATTGTCCAAGTCACTGAGTAAGACTCTTGGCCAATTCCTTTTTTGTTGCTTTCTGCAGCTTTTGGTCCCTCTTCTATCCAAACCACTGTTTGTTCTTTATGGCAGTGCCCGGTTCCAGAGCTCCTGGTTTTCAGTTGTAATGCTTCCATCTCATTACTCTATTTTGAAATAAATGAGGTTAGATTGACAGTGTTGCTTTTACTGCCTAGAAAACAAAGCACAAATGAGTGAGCAATTCTAGTGTATATTTTAATTGGTACAGCATCTTCAGAAATGGGTTTCTTGTGCACTTTCCTCTTAACTTTGTATTTAAAACTTGCAAGCAGTTCAACAGGTTTATTTTGATTTTGATTTTTTTTGCTACGTTTCATCTCTTCTGCATGACCTTGATTCCCTTTCTGCACTGGAGACTGATTGGATCGAATTGCTCTTTTTTCCAAATGCTTTTCTCAGCCTGGAGGCTGAGGCTGTCATCTCCAAGTTGGATGATTCTCCTCTACATGTGAAGTCGCTTGTTGAAGTATCCCTGAGGTTTCAGAGCCTTTTGATGACTTAACCTTGGCTGCTGCACTTTTATACCCATCTCAGTCTTGCTTTAAGGTGCATTAGGACCAACGAGGTTTAAGATCAGCCTCTTCTAGTCTTTTATCCCGGTTTGTGCTCTTTCAGCAGCAGCCAGTCGTGAGTCTGCGCAGCAGAAAAGATTCCTCCGTTCAGCAGACTCCTGCCTTAAAGTCTTGTGTGCTCGGCGGCAGCAACACGTTGCCTCGATGGCAAGTTCAAGGAGGAATTGAATCCTGTAGAAGGTTTGAGCCCCACCAGGGATGGTGAATTTCCCACAATCCTTTATTCCTTACTGCTACAGGACATTGCAGCACACGTCCACTAGGATTGACGGAGCGAGGGTGCATTTTGTTGCTTTGCTTGGAGCTGTTCACCAAGGGGCAGGACGTGCAGGAATAGACCCTTTTGCCTGGGTTGGACCATTGAGACAGTGAGTGCTTGTTGCTTGTGAAAAGTGCAGCAAAGGAGAAATTTAAAATATTCTGCTTATACATATGCACAGTTTAAAATTATTTCAGCAGCTTAAAAAGCTGTATTTTTCTGTTCTCAATGTAGAGACATCAGGAAGTTTATGCTAGTTTTCTTTTCTGGACATCTGGAACAGATGTGTGTTGTGAATTATTACAATAAAATGGTGGGAGATGATGAGCTTTTGGGTGAGAAAAGCAAAATCCCCTTGGACTTGATTGGGAATTTAAGCCAAATGGACAGTAATATATATATATATATATTTTTTACTGGGTCGTAAGATGTGTTTTCTGCTTCAGTGGATTCCTTTCTGGATTGCTGGTTGTTACCTGATGTGCTCTCTGCTAACAAAGTCTCTAAAATGGGACAAAAAATGTCAGTGTTTCTCGAGCTTCTTGGGTTTGAAGTGATTTCATTCTCCTGTGCATCTCAAATGAACCTACCTGATTTGCACAACAGAACAAAACCAAGCATGTTCTTTTTTCCCAGGTCACCTGTCATGGGAGGAGAATTTGGGACTGCAAATCTCCAAGCCCTTTCTTTCCTAGAGCTTCCTGCTCCTCTCCTTTCCCTTGTGATAGGCCTGGCAATCCAATGCAGTACTGTTGCAGGGTTCCTGAGAAAGCAGCATCAGGGAAGCGGCAGTAAAAGGCTGCGCTCAAGGGCTCGGATGCGAGGCGTGCAGCACGGCTGCTGGCACGGCACGCAGGGCAGTGCAGCCGCGGGGCGATGGGAGTGACCCCCTTCTCCCAGCGTTGTGGCTTTTTCACTAGACGCGTGTTGTTCCCGTGAAAGCACAGGGAAGCCAGCGGCACCGGATCAGCAAGTCACGTGCGTAAAGGTGGTCTGCAAATCAATTTGACAAAAGGACTTCAGTGCTTGTGCTGAATGCTCTCATTCTCCAGGCTAAGCAGGGGCCCGCATCCAGCACGTAACCGAAAGCTTGCTATTTCTTTTCCTTAGGTCCCATGAAGTCCAGCCCCACTAGGACCTCCGGCTCCCGCTCCGGTGCAACACCCCAGCAGGCACCATGCTGGTGATATCACATCACCCAGGGATCCTGCTGGAGCTCGGAGCCGGCCTACAAGGGGTCAGGTAAGTACCCTTTGCACAAACAAGCTCTGCTGCCCACTGCTGCAAGGGTATCTTCTTTCTTTCTTTCTTTTCTTCTTAGTCCTTAAGGCCTAAGAAGAAAAACGTCTTCGTTACCTACAGGTACCCCTGTTTTCTTAGCCTGGCTAATGGGGGCACGTTATATTATGTGTGTTGCTGAGGTTGATGAAAATCTGACAAATTGATTTGCAGGTCACCTTTAACTTACAAAGACGTGTACATTTGAATAGAGTATTTAGCTTGCCACATGAGCTGACGTTTCCACCTTCTTCTACAACATGCTGTGCTTTGTGGTTAGAGGAGCGTGTGCTCTTGGAAACCAGGGTTGGCTGCAGAAGTAGCAGGTCTAGTACTGGGGCTCCAAGAATGTCTACCCTGTGTTAGACAGGGCAGCAAACCCTCTAGTCGAGTAGTGTTAGAGGAAATGTTTGAGGTCCGTGACATCCTGTAGCAGGCTGCTCTGGGGAACCTGTCCTCACTTCTGCAAATTGGGATTTGCTTACTTGAAAGGAGGGCTTCTATCCCATGGAAAATGAACTTGTCCTCCTCCTTGTCTTCAAAAAAACTTCTATACTTGTCTTCAGAAAAAGACTTGCTTGTTGAAATCCCTTGTCCTGTTTTATCTTTCTCCTTCCTAGGACTCTCACAAAATCCTGTGACAAATTTCTCCGGGGGAAGTACTTTGTGTTACACTTCGAGTTTCCTATCTCCCCGTTTACTTGATTGATGTTTATTCTGGTAGTCCAACAGTGAGGATTATGGCCATTTCCTTGAAGAAATCAGATTGTGCAGCACTTTGAACCATTTTTTTGTCCAGACTTCTGTTCATTCTTATTGCAAACTTCTCAATCTGCTACAATTGGATAGTTTCTTTCTGAGTTAGTGTGCAGCAGTAGCCTTGTTCAGGTGTGTCTGTGTTGCTAGCTTCTACAGTAGTGTTTTGTTTGTTTCCTAGACTTGTTTTCTTGAGTGTCGCCTCATACTGACCTGCAACCTGCAGAGTCCTTCCCAGCTTGATGTCCTATTTACATCCCAGCACTTTGGAAGGAATACTTGAATAACTTATAGTGCCTGTGTTAGCTTGGCACTTAGCTTGGAGTATTTTTGGCTTTCAATGTCCATCCACCCAGCTCTGCCGGGTCTTTCTGTGGTTCTTCTAACAACACTCTTGGAAGCTATTTCCCTTGCAAATTTTGCAACTCCCTTGCTCGCTGCCTCCTTTCTGAATAGTAACGACAGACCTGAAGCCTTCGTAGTGCTGTTTTGTTAGGAGGAAGACTAGTCAAGTCATGCCCAGTTTAATATCGCTTAGTGGTTTTCAGGCTTTTAAAAGTTGACCTCCCTGCCAAGATCAGGGTGGCAGCAGATTAGTCAGTGACTCTAAGCAACATGGTTTCAAAAAAGTCTGGTGCAACCTCATTATTTCTCCTATTTTAATTAAGTTATACGGTACAGAAGCACAGTTTACTGTCCAGTAATTCCAAGTATTACTTCCAGCAGCTTCCTTAAACTATAGCTACAGTTGTCTTTTTTTTTGCAGGATATCGTAGGGTTGCAGCATGCTGGTGTGCCAAGGTTATTGGTGCTGGATGGCACTGACATAAGGGAAATACTTTTTCTGTCCTGTCTGTTCCGTCGCACAGAGAAGATTTTTGTGGGACCCGTGTGAGAGCAGCGTGCGAATGGGGCTGCTTGAGCCTCTGCCGTGCAGCGTAGGACATGAAGCAGCGTGTGCATCTTGGTCATGTTGAATCTTGCAGAAGTCAAGCCTAAGGGTCTCCCAGGACCTGCAGTTAATCCTAGATGATATTTTGTGACTCAGTGTGGTCTTTTATTTGAAGTAACTAAGTAAAATAATGGAACTTCTTGTGCTGCTGTTTCTTGGAACCTTTAGAAGATGCAAACTGAATCCAGTGCTGTTGTCTAGCTTTATAGCATGGGTAGCAGAGGAAACCTCAGCCTTAGTTTGTGTTGGGTGCCCACATGCTGGCTCTGACCTCCAAAGGTCCCACTGGGTTGGGGTGAGGCTTTTGGGAAGGATTTTTTGCTTCCTGTTCTCTGTTGACATGGCTAGACTCAGTGCAAGCCTCGGGCTGGGATTCTCTTTTTTGTTCAAGTTGTACGGAGCGGAACCACAACTCCCAGCTTTGCTGCCCTCACTGCTCTGCCAGGACATGCTGAACGCAGCCACAGAAGGTCCAACTTGAGAGAAGTCACTGGAGTGGTGAAAGAGCTGCTGGGAGTAGGTAAACCCAGAGGTGTGAGCGTGGTGATGGGTAGCTGTGGGTGAGGACGTCTGCCTCGCGTGAAAGCTCACTCGATTTTGGTTTTGAGACAGGTTTGGGGCAGGTGATTTGCCAAGAGCTGCATGACTTGACATCTTGAAAGCAGGTTTTATTTACCTATTTTTCTTTATTTTTTTTAAATCAATAGCTCTGAGTACATACTGCGAGTGAAGAAGGCAGTAGTGTTGGACCAGATATTTTCCTTTGGCTCTCGTAATTGCATGCATCTGATTTGGTGTTTTACTCGATAGTAGAAGCTCTGCGGCAGGCTTTTTATTTATTTTGACCATTCACCCTTCTGCTCTCCGCAGTGATGGTCATCTTCCAGGTTGTTTCTTGGCGTGTTACTGCCCTTGGGTTTTCTGAGAAAGAGGTATTTCCAAACTGCTGGTTTTCTGAAGCGTTGGTTGATCAGGGATACGAGCCCCAGCCCTAAACAGTGCAGGAGGCTGAGGGATGTGCAGAGGTTCTGACAGGATTTCTTTTTCCAGAAAGAAAAATGTTGGGGAATTTGGGAAGCGCGTTAGGTATTTTTATTGACATTTTGTTCTGGTTGAAGCGATGACTAGTTGTCAGGGTAATGTTTTATGAAAGGGATATGACAAAATGGATGTGAATTAGGAGTTGGGGATAGCAGGCAGGTGACAGTCCCAGGCAGGAGTGTGTCCTGCCCTGTGGTGAGAAGTGTTTGTGGAGCTGCTGTGTTTGCCTAAGTGTAAAATCCCTTTTGCCCTTCTGAAGGGAACCTTTTGGGAGAGCTTTGTTGGACTGGCTTCGTGTTGCTTTTGCCTGCTGCGTTTTGGAATGGAAGTAACCGTCCTGCTCTCTTTCAAACAGGTATGAAGTTTGCAAGCCAGGTGAGGATGGCTCTGAATATGTTACTCTCTCCATTTATTTTCGGGAAAAGACAGTGAGGCAATCCAGCAATACTTCAGGAACCGTGCTCTTTGGTCAGCCCCTGTTAATATCTGTGCTGAAACACAAGCTCACTCTGGATCACTTATACAGTGTGGTTTTGGAGCAGATCAGGTAGGTCATTGCTGTAACTGCATCTTGTGCAAAGTCCTGGTGTTCACTCCTGCAGTGATGATGTAATAGGATCATGACATCTTTTTTTAATGGGAAGGTTTTTTTTGCATGGGGAATATCCCTCAGATTTGGTATTACAGTACTGTCTAGAGGCACCACAGTGCCTCTAGGTCAAGAGCTTGGGCTGCTGGGCTCTGTTAAAGCAGGTTGTGAGTGGTCACAGGGAGGGGATTTGACATCGCAAAGAAGATTGAGGGCAGAGCTCGGGCTGCGTGTTCTAGCTTTCAGATTTAAGATTCAATTCAATGGGCCCACCACAACTCTGTAATTTTTCCCATCCCATGTGTTGCCAGCAGAAGCTGGCACAAGCAGTGAAACAGCGTAGGCAGAGTTTTCCTTGGCTAGTGATCCTGTGTGACAGCACTTGGCCTGTAAAAGGCGCTGTGCAAAATAGTTCTGATTTGTTGGGGGGAACTCGTGAGGGCTGTTATCACTGACAGTGGAGAAGATACAGTTTTTCTGGTGTAAAGCAGCAGTGTGTACGTGTGATAAAAATGTTCCGCTTTTCCAGCCGCTACGTGAAACTCCCCTTGGCAGAGGAATACTCTCCATCTTGTCCAGACAGAGGAACCTGCAATGGCTCCAGTAGTGTGGCTGAAGGTAAAACCCTTTCAAAAATGCTTTGAAGCCTCAAGATTTTATTAGTCTTTAATTTGCACTGTGCGTGTGATAGATGTAAGCTATAGCAGATTTTTTTATTATTATTTCTGCAAAATCTTTAAACCACATGGTTGCAAGTCACCACACCACAGAGAATTCGTATAGACCGTTTTCCTTTTAAGAAATATTGGAGACATGAGCAAAGAGCAGTCGGACGACAAGGGCTTGTGCATTCATCTTGACGGTTGTTGATAAATCCCTGGTTCTCTGTCAGATGTTGGGGTGCCTCCGTCTATACTGCACTCCTTTCGTATGCTCTTTGATAAGGCTGGTCTCTTAGCTCACGAGATGATTTCTGGAGAAATGACTGCATTCAACCTGAGCTTGTCAATCTGAACTTTTCCCTGAAGCTCTTATATCGTGCTCGTCTTCGATTTTGCTAGGTGACATTGAGGAGATGGAGCATCAGGACGGCGGACAGGAAGGCAAGGAAAAACTGGCAGAAATGGATTCCTGCCACGGCAACGGTTGTATACAGGTGGAGTCAGCGAGAGATCTGCCGCCTCGCAAAAAACAGCTTTTCACTTTTAGCCTTGTGAATTCCTACGGGACCTCTGAGATAAACTCTCTTGTAGAAGGGAAACTACTAAAACTGAATGGTAATTATTATTCTTTTTTTTTTTTTTTTTCCTCTTTCTTACAACTTGACAGCAAATAAATCATTATTCTTTCTTGTAGCTTTTTCTACGCTTGCAATTGATTGGGATTCTGATATGCGGAGGCTGCTCTTTGATGAACAGGAGGCACAGGTTAGAAGTCTGCTTTTTTCATAAATATTCTGTAAACTTGCATGGCCCTTGCTGGGTGGGGTCATGTCTGAGACCATGAAATGCACCTTGAGATACAAGGAAGGAAAGGCTGGAAGCTTGAGAAGATTGTAGATGGGGAAGGGGCCTGGCACAGCCAGCTTGGTGAGGGTGAGCATGTTCGTTTTCATGATAAGGGATGGAATTGAATAAATCCTGCTTCTCTTTCACTAGGCATTTGAAAAGCATGCAAGCATGTTACAGCCCCAGAAGAAAAAGGCTGTGGTTGCCCTCAGAGACTGTATTGAGCTCTTTACCACTATGGAAACGCTTGGTGAACATGATCCTTGGTAGGTTTCTCTTCATGCCTCCTGCTTTCTGTTGAAATGCCCTAGCTATTTGAGTTCACATTAGTTGTCAGGCGACTGTGATGATTTCCTAGCTTTGGCTTCATCTATGGAAAATCTATCAGTTCTGTTAAGTCGCTGACTCTATAAATACCTTTTATTAACCCATGTCTCCAGGCAGCTTCTCTTCTTTATTGAAGAAGGTGGCAGTGGTCACGTAGCTTCCTGAGATCAGGCTGCTTTGACTTCTTGACTGAACGTATCATACAGAGAGTGTGAGAGAAAATAGAATGAAAATAGAGTAGGCAAAGAGTGAAAACATGTGCCTACCTTCAGGTTTAGCTCTGCTGTATATTAAACTTGTACCAGTCCCCAGCCACTCCTGATTCTACCACAACTTTATAGTCCAGCGTAGCCAAGTGACTCTGAAGAATTACAACAGACTTAAAATAACCAAAGCATCATTCATGTGTGTGCAGAATATTTTTGGAAGCTGATTTTGTTAGCTGTGTTAAGAAATGAATTCCTGATTGAATTACCTGATTGTTTATTAATAATTTCCAATTATATCTTGTAGATGTATTTGCAGTGTTTACCTGTTTCCTCAGCTATGTGAGGAAATAGCAAAGTAAAATCGGGATCCTTAAATCTTTCCTTAAAAACAAACAAAAAAAAAAACCATTTTTTGAATAGTGTGCAGTTAATGCACTTGTACTAGGAAACTACAGAGTGATTACATGGTGCTGTTTAGAAAACTCAGGGAAATTTTGTTCTCCTTTGTACTGAACAAGCCTTTTCCATAGCAGGGGCTGTACTGCCTTATCAATGCATCCTTTAACAGAAGGACAGAAGTATTTTTAAAAACAGTCATTTGTTTCCTTGTTTGGACTCCTTCCTCAGGTACTGCCCGAACTGTAAGAAGCATCAACAAGCTACAAAGAAGTTTGATTTGTGGTCTTTGCCCAAGATTCTGGTGGTGCATTTAAAACGCTTCTCGTACAGCAGATACTGGAGGGATAAGCTCGACACTGTTGTTGAGTTCCCCATCAGGTAGGATTCTTCTCTCAAGTCATGAAGAGTTGGTCAAGAGAAACCTGCTTCTGATTGTACTCTTGGGCATGTTTGTCATGAAACCTGTAACTGGAACAGCCCATCTCCTGAGTTGGGGCTGCAGAACGACAGGCACGAGTGAAACTCGGGTGATGGTCTCCAGGCACAGGGCAGGTCAGCAGTTTATTTGCTTCCATGATCCCGGTTGCTTTGCTCCTGGGAAGTGAGATGGGCCAGGATGAGATGCCACGTGGTGGACATGCTCCGATGGAAATGGGAATGGCCATCACCCTGGGTTAACTTTTTGTTTCGATTGGGTTAATCATAGCAAGAATCAGTTCTACCCCATATTCCAGTTACTGGGGAAACAGGCTATAGCCTGTTCCCTGTGAACATCCACAGGGAATTTAGCACATGCTGGGGACAGAGCTGCACTGCAGTGCTGAGAATTGCACACACGTAACATGGAAGCCAACCCCATTCCCTCTGCTTTTCCCTAGCAGCGTCCTGTTGCAGGATGGGGCTCGCTCCTCATTCCTCCAGGCTCACGGTCATCCAGCAGAGTAACCTTCAGAGCTTCCTTTTATGCAGCACCTCCCTTGAAATCTCTTGACAGCGCCTTCACCAGGACCTTGTGTGGGAGGTGCAGTACTCCTGGTCTCAATAATATCTAGCTGTTGAGCAGCTGAGCTCAACACTGCTTTTCCAAGTGCTCCTGTTGGCTGCAGAGCTCCATGTATAATCGAATACTTCTCACTGTGTGCAGATCTCTGGCGTGCTGATACCTTTGGGTTTCCTTGCAGGGGCTTAAACATGTCCGAGTTTGTCTGTGACCCAAGAGCAGGCTCATACGTATATGACCTCATTGCAGTTTCCAATCATTATGGAGCCATGGGAGTAGGCCACTGTGAGTAACTGCTTTTCCATCCTTTGCATGCGAGGAAACCTAGGCAGAAGGGTCAGGGGGAGGGCTCTGCATGGTGGAGGTGGCTGTGGCTTCTCTCCTTCAGAAGGGCTCGTAGTAAATGGGTAGAACTGGAACAAATTTGAACCTGGAGGCTGTGGAACAAATGGGATTGAGCTTGCCGGTGCCCTCACGCAGAACTTACCTGTCTGCTGTATGTGGGTGGATGTGGTACCAGAAGGTACCTGTCATCCCGAGAGGATTTACAGAGCAACTAGGCAGGCTGCAGTCGGGCCTGACTGTGGTATCTGTGGGACCTTGGTTAATAGTCCTGAGGGGGTAATTTTATTCTGCAGTTTGTACAGAGCCTGGATTTCAGCCCTGAAGATCAAATCATGGCAGGGAGCTGCTTGCAGGAGGATCTTGGGGATAGGGGAGTCTTCAGGGTGCAAAGCTGAGCCTTGGAGCTGGCCATCAGCTATTGCTAGAGTCAAGCTGCTCATCCAGCTTGTGTACAGGGAGTATTGAAGCCTCCCAGTGACTGCCCGCCGGCCAAGCAGGAGCTCGTGCTGCGCCCTGCGGGGGTGGGAGACGAGCTCTGAGCGAGAGGTGACGTCTCTGCACGTGCCCTCCTGCTTGCTGTAATGAACACTTACAGCAGACCTCGTTTTCCAGACCCTTTTTAAATTAAGTCAGGCATAAATTCAGCATATTGGGATCTCCTGGTTGCACTCATGGTATGAGTTTGGGATAAATTGTGCATATCCTCTACACTGACAAGTTCTCATATACGAAAGAGGTGCAAGGGCCATTAGACGTGGGGAAAAATGTCATGTTACATATAGCAAATATGTTTATAGCTGTTGGTTTTGCTGCAGCCTAGAAGAAAAGCATCTGTAAATAGAGTTCTTTGATAGATTCATGGTATAGGTGACCCTTAGAACCACTCCAAAGCACTTGGCGGTGAGAGGATGGTGAGAGCCCATTTGACATGTGCTTAGCATGGGCTCTGTTGCTGTAAGAGAGCAGTCAGAGGAGGATATATTTTAGGATTCATAGCCATAACAATCTTTAATCCAACTTTCCTCTAGAATTAGGACTCTTGTGAATGCTAGATCAGGTCAGTCCTCAGTAGAATAAATGATGTTTCATGTGAAAATTGGAAAATAGTCTTAATCTAACTGTGTATTTGGCAAAGATCTGCCTCAAGGAGGTGAACCAAAACAGTTCCCCCCCCACACCCCCACACACACACACACCAAGTCTCTCCCCCATTTCCTGCCTCTGGGATAAGTCTGTGTGGCTCTAGACTAGCTAGACCAACGAGCATGTTCTGAAAGATACGTGTGTTAGCGAGCTACATTGAGTGCTGTTATCAAGGCTGCTTTTTGGCCCTGTGTGTGCTCAGTGTGGCTGTCTTGAGTGCCCCTGCTCTAGTCGGTGACGCTGTTGACTGTCCGTGTAGCTGCAACCTGCTCGTTGTCCTGTGTACCCTGATCTGCACTTTGGTTTTCTGACAGACACGGCCTACGCAAAGAACAAAGTGAATGACAAGTGGTACTACTTCGATGACAGCAGCGTATCAGTGGCGTCAGAAGACCAAATAGTGGTGAGTACTTGGTCTGAAGATGCTCTGAGTTTATACTGCAAGCGTGGGTCCCTACAGTGGGTGTTTCCAGCCAGGCTGAGTGGATGATTTTCAGGTGTTTTCAGACTTTTCTCTTTCTTTGGTAGACAAAAGCTGCATACGTGCTGTTTTATCAGCGTCGAGATGACGAGGAATGTGCTGCCCCGTCTCCTCCGCCAGAAGAGTGCGACGGCATGGATACCAACTAGGCCTCTTCTCCAGCACTGGGTCACCGTGCTGGCATTTGCCCTTCTAAAGCCATGTCTGAGGCATCTGAAAAATTCCCTTCTTCCTTCTGTAGGAGTCAAGCAAAAAATTTAGTGCTGAAATCTTTCAGTGCTCAGGGTTGCAGAATAGCACTGGAGAGACAGGAAGTAGGTGTTGACACCTGGGTATTTAGAGGCCAAAAATAATATACATTGCAGCTTCAATAAAGTTCTTTTTAAAATCTGGCTGAACTGTGTGGCTGAAGGTAGCATTCAGGGCTGAGCTGGGTTGGGGCTGGGGGCATGGGCCAGGCTGACGGGTGTAGCTGCTTTGGGAAGAGGGCACAGCCTGAGGCGGAGGTCGTAGCTGAGCGGTGAGGCCCGTGGAGTACAAGGGTTGTGATTCTATGAGTCTGCCTGAGGCCTTCTCGAGGCTCTCGTGTTGCTCTCGTGCCCTGCTCGTTTCAGGGCGCCTTGCTGCGCCCATTGGGAAGCTCTAGGGTCAAATCTTGTGGCCGGTCTGCTGCCATCTCTGCCATCGTGTGTAGCTTCTCTGCTTAGCTGCAGAGATTTATCTCCTCCTTGTGTCCTTCTATCTGCTGATGCACTCAATTCTCCTGGGCAACTTTGGCTGTTTTTGTGTGGACGCTGAACCCCGCTAAGTAGGAGGCTTCACTGAAGACAAATACCCACCTGCATGGCTGTATGTATGAGCTGACCTGCCTGGTGATGCACCTGTCTTGCCTTGGGATGACATCCTTCAGGGGAGACAACATCATTTGTAACACTGGCCCCTTCTTGTCCTCTACAGCCATCTCCCATATCCCTTGTGCCAGCTTTCAGGCAATTCCATAAGCACTTCCCTGCCACCTCTATATCTCTAAGGCAGTGGAAGAAATTAGGGGGTGGTTCATGTATGTTTGGAGATCTTACTCCAGCGAAGCTTGGGCCTATGTTGGCAGTTATGGGTGGCAACCCCTGGCTTTTCCTTTTTTGTACAGCCATTTTAGCCTTCCTCTGCTTCCCTTGGGTATAGTTGGGTCCTCTACCCATCTGCAGGGCCGTAGGTGCAGAAATCCTGCCTGAGGGTCTCCTTTGGCAGTGGCCGTGTGATAATTTTGCCCCATCCTCCCAGTACAACTGCTCTTCCTCTGTTACCTGAGACAATTTTGGTGTTTGTAGGGCTCTAGTCCACCATGAATTTTGAATCAGGACTTTTGCAAATGCTAGCCTGGGTCAGTCTTCAACAAAAGCTGGTTTGTCATGTGAAAGATGGGAAAACCCAGAGGCTTAACCTATACTTATGTATTATTTGGCTCAAGGGGTGAACGAAATGCCAAGATCTTGGAGCAGAAGCAAAGCGGAGGGCAGACGCTGTCCTCCTTCCCTCCGTTCCCAGGCGCCCTGTGCTCCCACCTGCCCCGCAGAGCTCTTGTAGCTGCGCTCCTCGCTGCAGCCCTGCTGACGAACGGGCCCCGTCTGCTCCCCTCCAAAGCTGCCGCCTCTGCTCCGTGGCTGCTGCTCTGCCACGGGCCTCGCCGGCACGAGGGCTTTGGCCTCCTGCTCCCTCTTCCCTCTCCAGGGCCGGGAAGGGCCGTGTGGCTGCTGGGCTTCTGCACCACGCGGTCCTCGGCTGGAGGAGGAGGATGTGTTGGTGTCAGGCTGCTCACCACAAGGTTTTTGCTTTTAAGTGAGAGGGCTTTAAAATCTGGACTTGGAGCTGCTCATGCTTCTGCTGTTTTGGTTTTGGGGATTTTTCCAACTCTTCAAGGGACATTTTATTTTTCTTCCCTCTTTGCTGAGAGGGAGAGCATCTAAAAAGGTGGTTTTTAAGCTGTAGCACTGCACTGAATACCCTGTTTTCGTTGTTCTGTTTTGTTAGTTTTACCCTGAAAGAAAACTAATTTACCTGGGTATTTCAAAGTCAGGGGCAGGGAAAGGGGAGTCCAAGGTCTTGTAAAGGGAAGATCAGCATAAAAGGGCCTTGTTTTTTCCTGCCCACGCGGATGTCGCTTACGGTCCTTCTTGCTTCGCGGTCTGATGGGGCAATCTGCTGTGCAGCAGGAGCACCTCGGCCCTCGCTGCCTCCTCTGGACCCACGGGCTTTGGCTGTGGTACCTTTTGTAAGGTCAGGCCTGTTTTATAGACCAGCACTTTGTGACGGGCCAGCTGTGTTGTACAATTAAAGGCAAATTAAAGAGTGGTTTGCGCTGAACCTGGCTGCTGTCGTGTCTTCTACCTTCCCTTCCCTGCCCCAACGTGCGGCCAGGGGCTGTTCTGGGGCACTGCTGCCTCGCGGAGAGGCCTGCTGCAGCGGGAGCTCTTCAGGCTAGAGGAGCCGAGGGGCAGCCTTGCTTTCCTTCCCTCTGGCTGCTGCTGCCCAGGGCTTTGGCAAAGCCGCTCCTTGCAGCTGTGGCTGTGGCCCCCTGGCTCCAGCTCCTACAGCCCTTGGAGGGGATCCTGAACTTGTTTCTGACTATCTTCTCTGGTGACATTGGGCCTGACCCTATGGCTGTAGCAGGGTTTTGTGCATTTAGCATCAGTGCGCCTGCAGGAATGTGGGGGGCTTGACTCTACCTGGCCCCCAGGTTTGTTGGCAGGAGGGTTTGTGAAGGAGAAAACCCTGGTTAAGAGTTTAAGTCTTGCTGTTATGGGTAGGATCTAACAGCACAGAGCAGCTCTGGGCCTTGCAGCAGGCAGGGGGAGAAGGTTTGTCCAGTCCAGTCTCCTGCAGGAGAGAAGTGTGAAGAGGGAAGCAGCCTCCCTGTTTTTCTGGAGCACTTTCCTCTGGGAACAGATGCCAGGAGGGAAAATTGCTGCAGGAAGCCTGACTGGAGCCGTACTGCACTGACCTGCATCCCTGGGGGCCTCTTGAGCATCAGTGGAAGAGCAATGAGTGCCAATATCAGAGTGAGTGGAGTGGTGCGAGCTTGTGCCCTCCTTTGTCTGCTCTGGCTGCGCAGGAACATCCTGGCCTCTGCAAGGAGGCAGCTCTGGGCCTCACCATGCCCCTGTGGCACCGCGTGATCCAGCGCTCTAATCCAAGGCCTCCGAGGGTGATGTGGCGCTCCTGTGTGTCCTGAGGTGAAAAAGCTGCTGGGGGCGTAGAGGCGCTTGGGTCAGGGACACCTCCAGCCTCCCTGGGCCACGGGGAATTTGGGGGCTCACAGCTGCCTCCAGCTGTCCTGTGCCATCGTGCATGGCCTATGGCACCAAAATGACAATATCCCTTTCCTGCCCCGTTCCCCAGAAAGCTGCTTTGGAGGGTGCTGAGCAGGAGGGCTCTCCCGACATCAGCTCTGCTCCCACCACGGGCCTGGGCTGGCAGAGACCCAGGCTGGCGCCAGCCCAGGAAGGTGCCATCTCTGGTGATCTGGCTCCGCTAGCTTGGGGCTGCAGGGTGATGTTCCCTATGTGTGTGCAGTGCTGTGGCCTCTGTGCCCAGGGCAGGGCCTGCCCCTCTCCCTAGGAACAAGGGAGACCCCTGGGGTACCCAGGGGTGGTTGTGGCTCAGGGAGTTGCTGGGAAGCGTGGAAAATGAGCAGCCCTCTTCTTCCATTTTCCAGAAATGTAAAAGATACGTTAAAAACAACAGCCATGTGAGGAGAAAAAAAAAAAGCAACGCTCAAGGTACAGCATTGTTGTGAGAACGGAGCTCTGTGGGCCCTGGTGGTTCAGGTGGCCCTGGTTCACAGGTTTTGGTGCGAGCCTGTCCTTGCTGTCTCCAAAGATCAGCCCTGGGCTGAACAAGGAGACAGTGACACAGCTGGCTTCGCACTGAGCTCCTGGAAACCCGTGTGAGGGGTTGGCCTGACTTCAGCATTCCTGAGATTACTTTCCAGCCTTTGCTACTGAAGGAAACCCCAGTGGGCTTCAGGTAGCAGAACAGGATTAATCAAAACCCTCGTCACTAACAACGTCTGGTTGAGTTCCGTGCACTTTTTGCTACCAAAATTCTTCTGTGGAGCGTTTCTGAACTCCTGGGTTTGATGGGGACATTGGCTGGGCCAGGCAAATCAGAGGGACCAGCTCAGCTCTCTGGAACTACGTTGCTGGGAACCCACCAGGAACATGCAGCTACTTCAAGGCCAAAGATACCAGGTTAAAGTATTGATGGAGGAGAGTGCTGCTGCTCACGTGCTCCCACTGCTGGATCTGTGCAATAGCGAAGGCCCTCTGCGTTCCTAACTTCTCTCTGAATCACCTCAACAACAGTGGTTAAAACAAGCAGAGCACACACTTTGAATCTCAACTTAAAAGTCTAAGTCTGTGGTTTCTCAGAGGCTAGCTTGATTTTTGCCTGCTATATTCATGCATCTGCAAATGCAGTTAGTTCACCAGACTTCACAGAGAACACCAGGTAACCTGGGTCAGGTATCTCCTCTCCTTCTAGCATGTCGTGGAGTGGGTTGTTCACCTTCCTCCCCCACAAAATACAGATCCTTATTCTTGGTTTTGTTTTCCTGTTAAACATCCTCACCCTCCAATTACCGTAACAGGGAGAGTGTATAAGCAGGAAGGACAACCACTGCAAGAAACTCAATCCTCAGGCCGCTTCTGAGGATGCGGTCGGTACCTCTCTGGTAAGTTGGCTTTGAATTGCTAACATGATGATGAGACTATCTTTAATGTTCATGAACAGGGGATGGATAGCTGTGTGGCTGCTTGTGAAGGTGAACTTAGACACTCAGCCACTACTTGATTCCTCAGTCTCATGAAGCTTTCAGTTCCTTAGTTCAGCTTGAGTTAATTAAAGCCCTTTGCTACTTCTGAACTGGAATTAGTAATTTCTCTGCGTCTTTGCTCCAACATTAATTCCTCTTTGTGGGAAAGGTAACTCTTCTGTAGCTAAAAAACCCAACCAACACACTTTGGTTCAAATACAGCATACTCTATCCTGTGGCTCAAATCACTGCAAGACAGGTTCTGAAGTTGGTGTTTTATTCTCAGCCTTGCTAAAATACATTTTACAGGTTTAACTAACAGCTCTCTTTTCATCAAATGTCTTTTACAAGAAGAGACAAAAAGTATTCTCAAATTCAGAAGATGGAGGTCTGTAATTCTTCCTTAAACATGCCTTCAAAGTGGAGGTCTTTTGCCATGAGCTCCTCTTCTACATCTTCCAAGGCCCACTGATGATCAGTCAGCTCCAAAGCTTCCCACTCCGTCTACATTGAAAATAAACACAAGGCAGGGGAAAAAAAGCAACACAGGATTAAAGCAGTTCTCCTTGCTCACTGTACGCT